ATGTTTCCTGCATTTTGTCCAGCCTGAAGGATTCCTTCCAACTTGTCAGTTCCATTTGTTATCTTGACAGACTTAGTCATCTGATCAAGTTTGGAGTTCAACATTAGAACTTCACCTTCGAGATGACTTATAGTAGCAGTGTCTGCCTTCTTCTCAGTCTCCAACTTCACTATGAGCTTTTTCTGTTTCTCATTTTGCTGACAGACTTCAGCACTTCTGATACATAGCTTCTTGTAGGAGTCAGCAAGTTTTTCAAATATCACTTCCTCATCACTAGAATCATTATCAGAGTTACAAATACCAGATAATGCAGTAACTAGTTTAGCAGATTCTTCTTCAAAGTTACTTTCTGAGTCACCATCAGACCAAATAACAGACATTCCTTTCTTTTGTTTCTTTAGAAAGGTAGGACATTCAGCTCGAATGTGCCCATATCCTTCACATCCATGGCATTGGATTCCTTTGCTTTGATTTCCCTTTTCTTCAGACTTAGTTCTTCTGCTGGAGTCATAGGATCTGCTACCTTGACTTTGGGTCCATTCTCTTGATGGGTTTGTTGAACTGCCTTCCAAGCATAGCTATAGCTTCTGAAATATTCTCTTCATCACTCTCCTTGCTTTCATCTTCAGTATTGGATACAAGGGCTATGCTCTTGTTTTTCTTGTCAACATTGTCACTGATCCCCATTTCAAATGTCTGAAGTGACCCAATGAGTTAATCAACCTTCAAGTTGCAGATATCCTGAGCTTCCTCTATAGCAGTCACTTTCATTGCAAACCTTTTAGGCAAGGATCTGAGAATTTTTCTCACCAGCTTTTCTTCTGACATCTTTTCTCCCAATGCTCCTGAGGTGTTGGCAATTTCCAAGATGTTCATGTGAAACTCATGAATGGTCTCATCTTCCATCATCCTTAGATTCTCAAATTTGGTAGTGAGCATCTGAAGTCTTGACATTTTTACTTTGGATGTACCCTCATGGGTGGTTTTGAGAGTGTCCCAAACATCCTTGGCCAATTCACATTGATGTACTAGTCTGAATATGTTTCTATCAATTCCATTGAACAAGGCATTCAATGCTTTAGAGTTATCCAGGGCTAACTCATCTTCTTCTTTGCTCCATTCTTCCTCAGGTTTCAGACTAGTCGTCCCATCTTTCCCAGTTATGGTGGGATGGTTCCATCCTTTGTCAGCAGCTCTCCAAGCCTTTTTGTCCAGTGACTTCAAGAAGGCAATCATACGAGGTTTCCAGTAGTCATAGTTTGATCCATCCAGAATAGGTGGTCTGTTCTCAAATCCTCCTTCCTTGTCCATAGCGCCAGAAAATAATATCCCTAGATCTCATCCAGAAAGACAGGCAGGGTGCCTACTCTGATGCCAATTGAAATTCTGGCAACAGATACTTAATGTCACAGTGAATGTTATGACACCGTATCTGACAAATTGTACACACACCAAACAGTGATTTAAGAATAAACCAACCAGTTTATCTCATTCACTTAAGACCTACCCAATGTAACTTCAATCTAAGTCCTACTTAAACCTGAGTTCCTACTCACTCCCCCTCAATCACAGCAGTGATACTAATCTACTGATTAATACGATTATGAAGACATTCTTCAATACACACGCTTGATCTTGCTTCAAAGCTTTAATCAAGAGACACAACACTCGTGCTTCAAAGCTTTGAGTGATAAATAACCCTTACAACCAAATCCTACTCCAAGTCACTTATCAAGTGATAATTGCTTGGCTCACAGTAGTTACAACTATACAATGCCTTATTGGTCTTCTCTAAAAAGTATCTCTCACCATTAGGCTTCGTGAGAATTATATAAGCAGTCTATTCTTCACTTTAGGGCTTCCATAAAAATAGCTAGGGTTAACCAAAGTTAACCTAAAGACTTGGTCTTGGGCTTTCATCATAACAAATTAGGGTTAAGCAAGGTTAATCTAATATCCACGTCAATATACTTCAGCACACCAGATTCCTGAAAAAATCTCTGGAACAATAAATCTGCACAACAACTTGATCAGTGCAAGATGTCTTAACATTGATTATGACATCATGTATCTTGCTCACTGATTTTGGTAGAATTCAGTATATATATGATCATAGCTTAATCATGATATTCACTCATACTGAGTTGTTCCTGTAGAACATTCCTTCTGCAGAATTTGACTTTATCCCAGAATGTTATGACATCAGTCATGACATTCGCAAATCTGGTTTTACCAAAAAATAATGCCAACAAGCAAACACTTACAAATGCATTTCTTAATGGACTCCTTGCTGAAGAAGTTTACATGGAACAACCTCCAGGGTTTGTTCACTCTGATTCTCTCTGGTGTGTAAACTCAACAAGGTGTTAGAAATTTAGGGTGTGATAATCCTGGATAACTTCGATGAATCGTGTTCGTACACTTTCCGAACAAAGTATTTCGACCCTATTCTTGTCTGGGTTCACGAAATCTTTGTGGGGATAATTCTCGAAGAAATTTTGTTTCCGACAAAAGAAACGAATTGTAATTATAGAGAGAAGGATGCGTTTTTTCTGTATGCGAGACCGAGGCCGAACGACTCCTTATATAGGAGAACAGTAATTGAAACGAAGAGACACATTTGTTCGAAACGAATATGTCCCTTGGACCCCGCGGGGCGCTGCCCCGCACCCCGCCAGGGGCTTCGCCCCTTGGAACCCCGTTTCAATTATTCGTATTCAATTATGTATTGGCTCGACGAGCGTGCACTCCGCACTTCCCTAACTCGTCTCCGAACTTAACGCATAATTGCATCGGCCTTTAGAAATCACATTACTACTAAAATACATTGGTGATACAAAATCGCCAACACAAGGCTTTGTATGGCCTGAAACAGGCTCCAAGACAGTGGTTTGAGAGACTGCAATCAACTCTTCTCAAGCTCAACTTTAAAGTCAGCAAGTGTGACCCCTCTCTCTTCACCTACTTCTCAAAAGGGCACTCTCTTTATCTACTTGTTTATGTAGATGATATTATTCTCACAGGCAGTTCTACTGCTCTTCTCAATGAGGTAATTCACAAGCTTAATTCTGCTTTCTCTCTCAAGCACCTTGGGGATCTTGACTATTTTCTGGGCATTGAGGTCAAGCAGTCAGCTAATGGTTCTATGCTTCTCACTCAAACTAAGCATCTCAGAGATTTGTTGCAGAAAACTAACATGTTGGAAGCCTGCTCTGTTAGCACTCCCATGCAGTCCACCTGCAAACTCACCAAAACTGGGTCTGCAGCCTTTTCTGTACAGATCTGTAGTTGGTGCCTTGTAGTATGCCATCATCACCAGACCAGATTTGACCTATGCTGTTAACAAAGTGTGTCAGTTTATGTCACATCCTCTTGATTCTCACTGGCAAGCTGTAAAAAGGATTCTCAGATATTTGAAAGGTACCCTAAATCATGGTTTATCTCTCACTCCTCTTTCCCCTCAGGCTGTTAACTCTCTTCATGTCTACTGTGATGCTGATTGGGCTTCAGATCCAGATGACAAAAGAAGTACATATGGTGCTGCTATTTTCTTTGGAGCTAATTTAGTTGTCTGGTGGTCAAAGAAGCAACCAGTTGTTGGTAGGTCCAGCACTGAATCTGAGTACAGAAGTTTAGCTCAAGCTACAGCTGACCTTCTTTGGATACAGACACTGTTGCAGGAACTGTGTATTCAAACCAAGCCTCCCATCATACTGTGTGATAATCAGTCAGCTGTCCTATTAGCTCATAATCCTGTTTTGCATTCCAGAACTAAGCATATGGAGATTGATCTATTTTTTGTGAGGGAAAAGGTTCTGGCCAAACCAATTCAGGTGCTGCACATTCCTAACACTGATCAGATTACTGATGTGTTGACCAAGCCCTTGGCTTCCACCAAATTTTTGGAGCTTATACACAAACTTAGGGTAGCTTAGTCCCTATTTCTGTTTTATATATTTGACTGGCAGCTGTAAGTTTCAGTGTGCCATAACCTGTAATAGCAGGTTACCCTTGATGCTGTATATAAAGCATCAAGGAGCCTTTTGTAACTAACAGAAAATAGAATAACAGAATTCTGTTACAAGATGAAAACACTTCTCTTCTCTACTCTTCTTTCTAATAATGACAAATGGCAGATTATGGTGGCTAGCCAAATTCCTTCATATAAACATGGCTTTGCTACCTGTGGCAGGTATAATAAAGGGTGTGGCCTGTGGTAGCTGGCACAGAAACTGCCATGCCATAATGACATGATGCCGCCATAGTAGCAACTTGACAGCATTTTCTGTACTGTGCTAAGCTAAATAGGCATTAGTTATATAATGGAGAATTCTTGTCCAGTATTTGTATTAGAGGGATTTTCTAAATTTTGTTTCTTTTATCACTTTTTGTTCGTCATTAGGATTAAACAATTTTTTGGTTCCTATAAAATTGACATATACTAATTTTGGATTCTATTTAAATTTGATTCGCTTTAGTCTATATAAATAGAAATAGTGTGTTTGTATTCTATCACCCCGGGGCCTAAAACACACCATTTTTTGTTTTTTTAAGAACTAAATATAAATAAAAATTAAATATGGATTAAAATCAGAAATCGCTAATTTTGTAAGAAAAATACATATTTAACCCTTTTTATTAAACATCAAAGTAAAACTGGAAATTTGAAAGGCCATTACCAGATTAGAGGCATAAGCAAAAAGATATGCTTAGATATGCATTTTGAAACTGAGAATGCTGAATAAAAGCATATGAAAACTTGAATTCTGGATAGTGACTCTTTATTTTCGGGGTTTGGACAAAAATAAAGACTTGGATAAATAAAAACAAATTGAGAACTCATTGGATGAATACTATGTAGAGGTAATGTTCAGCGTGGTGACATATTTGAATCACCGTGTTTCATATGTTATACTGCATTTATCTCCATTTTATAATTTGGTTTTTGTGGATGAGTTATTTGTGGCATGCATCTTGACAGGCCTTTTTATGTTTTACAGTATTATGGTGGAACAAATTTTGGCCGCACTGCAGGGGGACCCTTGCAAATTACAAGTTATGATTATGATGCTCCAATCGATGAGTATGGTACGGAGAAGAATAACAGAGGACTTTACTTTGTGTAGTTGAAATGATAGTTAATTTGGGGATTTATATAGCTGTTTAGTGTTGACATGGTTGATGACAACCAATTGATTAGCCTTGTTTTTTTAATAGGTCTACTGAATGAGCCAAAATGGGGTCACTTGAAAGATCTACATGCTGCTTTAAAGCTCTGTGAGCCTGCTCTAGTGGCTGCTGACTCACCAACATATATAAAACTTGGTCCAAAGCAGGAGGTTTGAGCCATGGCTGAAATATTTATTATTTTTATAAAAAGGGAATAGTGATGGGAAATGTCATGGAAGATAGTAGCCCTGATACCATGTTGGAGTTAAAAAGGTTTTAGATAAAGAAGGAAGAGAGAAAATGAAGACTTTCAATTCTGAATATAACTTAATATGATTGATGATTATAATTTGAGACAAGACTAAGTAACAATCCACATTCATGCTAATACAATATTTCAAACCGTAATTAAATAGGGAAACGAATCATGATGTTTACGAAGAAACATGAAGACTAATCTTAAGAGATAATAAGACAGTGTAGACACTCTAAATAAGAACTAAGAAGCAAATCTTACTAGATAAATGGGTGACGTTTTCTTTTGCTGAAAAACCTGTATATCAATTTCAGGCACATGTATACCAAGCAGATGTCCATAGTGAAGGATTAAACTTGTCTCTGTCTCAAATCTCCAGCAAATGCTCAGCGTTCCTTGCCAACATCGATGAACATAAAGCAGCAACTGTGACCTTTCATGGTCAAACATACATTATACCACCATGGTCTGTGAGTATATTGCCAGATTGCAGGAATACAGCTTTCAATACTGCTAAGGTTAGTTATGCAAGGGATAATTGGGCATCTTATATCTTTGATACCATCTTAGAGTTTGGGTTAGACCTAATTCAAACCCAAAACTTAGCCCATGTGGTGATGGTTTTTCCTTATAACCAATAATTGGGCATATCATATCACTAGTCAATGTAGGATCTCCAGCAATTTTATATTGTGATTGTCTAAAACTTTCTTCTTGAAATTGGCAAGGTTGGAGCACAAGCTTCAGTAAAACTTGTAGGGTCTGATTTGCTGCCATCTGCATCTATTTTCTTGCCAGCCCAACAATTGGTACACCACAATGACATCTCCAATATCTCAAAGTCTTGGAAGACTACGAAAGAGCCAATTACTATATGGAGTAAGAGCAGTTTCACTGCAGAAGATATATGGGAGCACTTAAATGTAACAAAAGATCAGTCTGACTATCTTTGGTATTCAACCAGGTAATTGTGCACGCCTGAATACTCTTCTATGGGTATCATTTGCATTACAGAGCATATCGTACAGTTTGTTTTACTTTTACTTTTTGACTTATGTGTGAATATATGCTTTACTATAACAAAAGAAAAAAAAATGCTTGCTTTTCTTGTAGCTCTTGTTTCAAGGATCAAATTCTTAAAGCTTATTTTAGATTTAGGTGAAAAGTAACGTAGACTTAAACTGCAGACAATACACAGGCCCACTCTACCCCAAGCTTAAATTCAATCTTTTTATTAGGACGGGGGCAACAAAGATTAGACTCTTAACAACTTGGTCTTAGAAGCTTTCTTGTCATGTTAACAACCAAATTTCCTAAAATATGGAGAACGAGATATTCATGATTCATCATTGCAAAATTAAGAATAGAAGATATGATGCATAAAAAGACACACCAAAACTGAAGAGCACTCTATCTTTTTTTTTTGGTCAAGTAGCCTAGTGGCTGGAATTTCACCCTCTAAAGGTGAATAAGTGGGATGTCGCGGGTTCGAACTTGCGCCCTTGCATCTAATGTTCCTGCACAACTACCTACTGAGTTCGCATTTAAAACAGCACTCTTTGTTTATCTGCCCAAGGGGTTTCCTGGAAGAAACCATGTTCTGAATTCCATAAAATGGCAATCAATTTTTTTCCTTTTGAGAATTTGGTCAAATAATAATTCAATTGTTTTCTAATTCCATTAATTTGTGTACAAAATGCAGAATATATGTTTCGGATGGTGATGTCTTGTTTTGGAAAGAAAATTTTGCTCATCCAAAACTTACTATAGACAGTGTTCGTGATATACTACGTGTATTTGTCAATGGTCAACTTATAGGTAATTAAATATTATGGTACTGAACATACACCCTCCGTTCACATTTATAAGCAAAAAAAATTGTTTTCAGTATTATTAAGAAATTCAATCAAGTGTAGTTAATTTTTTAGATTTTCTACATAACATTGATTAAATTTACTATAATGTCCTCTTTATTAAATTTAATGAAATGTTGGAAAACGAAATAGAAGGGTATATTAGGAATTATAGCATTAAATGATTTAGTAATAATTGATTTTTGCTTATAATAGTGACCAAGAATTGAAGTATTTTTTTTGCTTATAGTAGTGACCGGAGGGCGTATGTTTTATATGAAGACGAGTATTTTTTTTATTCCTTAAATTAATGGAAGTTCTATGCTGAATAATGCACTTTGTTGTGTAGTTTCCCTTGCAAGACTCTTCAAATAAGATTGAATCTTATATATATAATAAGAAATGATTCTTAATAAGATTTGACTATAAATTTGATTTTGAATGGATTTTTAAAATATTTCATTTCAATGATTCTAGTTGACATGTTGTAAAAAGTTTGCGTTGTGAAGTACAATGAGTACAAATGGACGCATCAGTTATATCATAACTGTTATTCTTTAGAGGTATAATCATTATGTTCTATATTTCTATCTATTGATGTAATTCAATTTCTTTCCAAGTGAAGGTACTTTTGTTGGCCATTGGGTCAAGGTGGTCCAGACTCTTCAATTACAACCAGGCTACAATAATTTAACACTGTTAACTCAAACAGTAGGCTTGCAGGTGAAAATATCTACAGTTCTTTTAACTTGTGTGTAAGTTTGTCGTGTAGGTATTAACTGAATATGGTGTAACATTTTATAATTTATAAACTTGAATTTATATAAATATGTGAAATACTTTTTTTCGGTCCAACCATTGAATTGTCATGTTTATTTAGATTCATGAAGTGCAAAGTAATTCATGATTTTGTTGTCACCAATGTAAATTAGTGATGGATATATATGCGTTAGCTTCGTTGTCTACTAAAACATATCCAATAATGAATGGGTGTGTATGGATTGTCCAATATGTACAGATAAATATGCATATCATATTCCTTTCCACCTGTATGCTTTTTGCATTCTTTCTCTACTGCCTTCAACTTATTCTTCTATCAAACATCTGAGAAATAATGTTTACTCGATTTGCATATACTCCACACGATTTGAATAATGTTACAGAATTATGGTGCCTTCATTGAGAAAGATGGAGCGGGAATAAGAGGTACAGTCAAGATCACTGGATTTGAAAATGGGCATATAGATCTTTCAAGATCATTATGGACCTACCAGGTTTGTACATTGTGATACTGATTTTCATTTCTGGTTTTCTGATGCATAAACCTTTATAAATGATAAAGTTTGGTGATAAATAACACATTGTTGGATAAAAATAATTTCTAATGATGTAAACAAAAATTGAAAACCGAGGGATAATGCGAGAGATATTGTTAATATCTGTTTAACTTTGAGCCGTTTAGGAAGTTATAGTTTAGTTGTACAGATCTTAGCATATTTTATTATAAGTTGGATTAAGATAATATTTTCTAGCATAGAAATGGCTTTTGAATCTTTATCTCTGGTTATGCATCATTGTATTATTAGGTCAATTTGACTGTTTTAAGATCTGTACCTGTTTAAGAATATCCATTGTCGTGGTAATATAAGGACATGCATTTGAAATTCTCAATTGTTTTTCGGTTTCTTGGAAGTCTTTGTTCAATAGAGTTAGTCACACTATTTCTGTCTTCGCTCCAAAATGCTGTGTTAGTGGTGGGTGGCAAAGCGGGCGGCCCGTCTCATTTAGGCCCGCCCCGTTTAAGCTCGTCCAAAAATAGGGTGGAGCGGGCTAACGTAGAGGTCCGAGCTCAAAAGTCAAACTCGTCCCGTTTACTAACGAGTTGGCGGGCCAGCCCGTCAATTTTTAATTTTTTTAATTTTACAATTTGATTTAATACATAATTTAGAAAATTTTTAATTATTACCAAAGAGGTCGATAAAGAAAATTTTTTAACAACGCATAATAGAACTTCAAGATGTCTTAAGTTCAAATAATTCAAAAAATTCAATAAATAAAGACCAATTACAACAAAAAAACAAAATAAACTCAAGCACAATAAAAAATATCAAAATAAATAAACAATACATATCATCCTAATCCTATTTAAAAACTAATTACTAAAAGAACCCAATTTAGAATTTACACAAAACCAATAATGATAACATCACAGTGCATAAAATAGTAATGCATAAAATATCAACATAGAACTTTCTCACTATTTTCATTATATAGACTCTTATATTGACCGATTCTTTAATAGTTAAATCCTAAATTTGTCAAACGTATACACTAATCAAATTCTTCCTTTTCTTAAAATCAACACCTATTTCTAAAAAAACATCTGAGATAATATATTGAAAACTTAATAATTATGCATGTCATACATTTGTTCTTTTATTTCAATCATTTTCAATCAACGCATGTATTAGAAAGTTATAGAAAGAACGTTACAATTATAATTCAATTTGTTTGTATAATAATTTATAATATAATCCTAAGAGATAAGTGTTGTTTTTATAGTTAAAGTTGTTTTAATTCTTAATAAAAAGAGTAAAAGTTTTAACAAAAAGTCCGCGGGGAAAACCCGACCCGCCTTGGCTCGCTTTTTTAAGCTGGTTAGGCGGGACGGACCAACTTAAGATACCGAGCCGAAAATCTCAGTCCAGTCCGCCAAAAATCGCGGGTCAAACGGGCTCAATCCGGCGGGCCCAACCCGTTTTGCCACCCCTAGTTAGTGGTGTGTTTGCTTGTTACATCATGGTTCCATTATCTTTGTTCCAAAATAACTTGTTCTATAATTTTGATCCTTGTGCTAACAAATTCTTGTGGGATTTTTTCGTTTTACACATTCTTAGGTCCAAGTTATTTTAAAATACTAACTCTAGTGTATTATTTTTATCCTAGGTTGGGCTTCAAGGTGAGTTTTTAAAATTTTACAATGAAGAGAATGAAAATGCGGAATGGGTAGAATTGACTCCTGGTGCCCTTCCATCCCCGTTTACATGGTACAAGGTAATTTCAATCTGTTGAAGTGGTGTATATCTATCAAAACTGTGGTATGCTAATTGTCTATTAAATCAAGCAGACATACTTTGATGTCCCTGGTGGTAATGATCCAGTTGCTCTTGACTTTGAAAGCATGGGGAAAGGTCAAGCTTGGGTGAATGGCCATCATATTGGAAGATACTGGACTCGTGTTTCCCCAAAAAGTGGATGTGAACGAGTCTGTGATTATCGTGGGGCTTATGATTCTGACAAGTGCACAACTAATTGTGGAAAACCAACTCAAACTTTGTAAGTAGTCTTAAAAGTAGCAAAAATAATTTGGTTTCATCCGAACGCAAAACCTTCCATGAACAAATTATGAAAAGCCATTCAAGGCAATGTTTATTTACTATTCATCTACATTTTACCTTTAGATCCAAATTCCATTGTTATACCAAAATAATTCTAAATTATTCTAACAAATACTCCTAATCATCTTCTAATTACTATAGTAAATTCTCAAGGCTACATTTCTTAAATTTGAGACATTGATCAATCTTCAGGTACCATGTGCCAAGATCATGGTTGAAAGCAGCCAACAATTTCCTTGTTATATTGGAGGAAACTGGAGGAAATCCTTTTGGGATTTCTGTCAAGTTACACTCAGCCAGTATAGTTTGTGCTCAAGTGACAGAATCCCATTATCCACCTTTGCAGAAGTTGGTGAATGCAAGTCTCATCGATCAAGATGTTTCTTCAAATGATTTGATACCTGAAATGCAGTTGCGCTGTCGAGATGGACATGTAATCTCCTCCATAACATTTGCTAGCTTTGGAACTCCTAAAGGTAGTTGCCAGAGTTATTCTAGAGGGAACTGTCACGCACCTAGTTCAATGTCTATAGTTTCCAAGGTAAAAAAAAAAAAAACTCCAAAAAGCCAGTGCTAAAACTTAACATTTCTCAACTCTTTTTGGTTTTAGACCCTCTAAATATACTTTTTACATTTTGAAGGCTTGTATGGGGAAAAGGAGCTGCTCCATTAAAATCTCAAGTGCTGTATTTAGAGATGACCCTTGCCAGGATGTTGCGAAAACGTTGTCTGTAGAAGCAAGATGCACATCACCATCTACGAATGGCTCCTTCCAACTTTGAGGCTGTAAACAACCTCTAAAATGAGTTTGGTATGAGCCGTGTACATACACAAACCTAGCCATGTACTATAATCCAAAATATCACTTGTTTGTGTTACTGGTTGATTGTATAAAAAGATACTTGGTTGGATGTATATCAAAATATTTTATATAAAAAAGTCTTACTTGAAAGACTTTTAAGTTATATAAATAAATATTGTGGTATTCGGGAAAATTTAAGAATATGGTGGTATTCAATAAATAAAAAATGTGTTGCTAAAATATATCAATATTGAACTAAAATTATTTTCATCATTTATTTTTGTGACTGTCATACAAATTTTTATTCATTATTCAATTATGGCAATTTTTCATTACATTCTTACACCTTTTCACATGTCTTGCTCAAAATTTCTAAAATGTTTGATGTTTTTGGAATATATACCTAGACATATCAATTCTTTATTTTAGGTGAAGGTAAATTCAGAGATGTATCAGCAAAGGGATATACATTTCTGAATACACTTTTTTTTAATTCTAAAAATCAGTTCGGAGATTTATCTCCGAAGTAGGTGAACATATTTAAAGCTCGCGTCAGACTCTCCCTCTTCTCCTTTATTTTTCAGAAACAAAAACTTTCTCTCTACCTTCCTCTACCCATTTTTAGTTCTCGTTCAAGGTCAAATTTGGAAGTAATATTTGTTTGTATCTTGTCATTTCCAACTCCCTCTAACTACTGCATTCAACATCATATCACTTTACATCATCATTAACACATTTTTCAATAAGTTTCTCATTTAGCTTATTTTGAGTTTTGATTAATGTATTAGCTCAAATAAGTTAGTTTTAATGCATTAGATAGCATTAGCATATGAAATAGATCATGTGTAGGATTTGTTTCTATCATTTGCATGATTTGGATGTGTTTTGGTTGGCTTGGACAGTTGCATAAATGTTTCTGTCATGAAAGCTCAGAAACGTGCTTTTTTGGGAAATATATCTCCGAAATGTGTTATTATGATGTTTGGAGATACATCTCTGACCTCTTTTGTACCCAATGCACTAATCTCTTTTCTTATGTTTTTTCAAGAAAAATGACTGAAAACAACGAAAGTTGAGATTAGGCCGACCCATCCTAACTGTGTCTGCTCTCCGCGAGAGGGCTTGTCAGTATGAGCAGGCTAGAGTCATCCATATGCCTCACGAAAGAGATACGTCGATCTCTAGTAGTTTATTATCACGGAATCCGAATACCAGAGTCGTGCGCAGTACGATGAAGATGCCCCAGTTGCACCGCAAGTCTCAGTTGTTGAGGATGCCCTACTTGCAGACCCTTTTCCATGAGGATCCACATACACTTCATTATTGATATACTTTGGAGAGTATGTGGCTCCTCATATCTATGACAAAGAGGTATATTTTTCAACGGTTGTGTTTTTTATATTTTTATCAAGTTCAACTCGACTGAGACCGGTATATCTTATTTTCAACAGGAACGTGAGCGCAAGCTATAAGATAAGCATACTCCTCCAAAGTAGGTGTGAGCTGATAATCCGAAAAAGTAAAACATTGATACAAGGGATCATAAAATTGGACCAAGGTATTCAAAATTCCATCTTTCACATAAGTATTCAAGATAATCAAAAGCTTCCCATTACGGTCTTTGAAATCCAAAGGACTAGTCACCAATGACCCTAACTTTCTCAACTCTTTCAATTCAAGATTTTTGAAACTGTACTTCTGAGTATTTCTCTTTCTGAAATTCATAACCACAATAGTTGCGATGTTTGCAAAGAGAAATTCTAAGTTCTTTGAAAATCAGGTGAAAAAATATTTATGAATGCATGAATGCATGATTATACCACAATCACAAACATGATAGTCCAAAGGTTTGACGTCACAAGCATGAAGCCAAAGGTAACTATCCACTCACAATGTATATTCTATTGGTTTCATCTGCACGAGTAATTGGGTTTTAACAAGGTTCCCAGAGTCATAGATCCATTTGTCAGATATTACCAATTTAAATGACTTACTTGTCAACTAATAATATTCTCAAGAAGAACTTGTCTGAGTGTAGTATCGTGTATCAACTAAACCAGGTCTACTCCGAGATAATCACCACACTACATCCTAAAAGGTCAAGAGGGATACAATGGGTTCTAAAGGTCCTCAGCTTCATAGAGTTTCAGGTCGAAAGAAGAAACGCCGTTAAAATTTTACTTGTAAGACATCATTAGAGTCAAAGGGGCCTCCACTGATCGAGGGATCTCAAGTCAATATACTGAGGATTAACTCCAAGTATACCAAGTATGACTATACCACCCTCATAATCATAAGTGTACTCAAGTCCGGACATATGACTTCTCACCACACAAAGAGATCACCAAGCACCCAAAAGCAAACAACAAACAATAAGCAATAATAACACAAATAAACATGATAGGCTCAACCCATTTGAGGACTACTCCCCAGCAGAGTCTCCAAACTGTCACGGTGGAAAAATTTGAGATTGAGCTATTGATTAACTTAATTAAAAAAAAGCAAGAGTCACCACCGAACTTTATTGTGTCCAAAAGAAAAAGGAAAAGGTCGAAGAAAATCCACAAGAATTTTTAAAACAAAACTAAAAAAAGAGAGATCTGAATACGAGGGTTGGTTATGCAAAGGGAAGGTTTTAGTACCTTTCACATCTATGGTACTCCATAGGAACTTCTTGAAAATTTGTGTTACAAAAAGGTGTTCTTTGCAAAAAGATTGATGGGATGAGAAAATAAGTTATTTTTTATAATTTTTGTTTGACAAGACTTCAAGAGCCTCGTGCCTACGTGTCCTCCAAGTGCAATGAAGAATCAAAACTGAAGGGGTGAAAAACACAAGAAGGGGGGGTTGAATTGTAAAACTGGAAACTTAAAGCAAATGACAAGGTATTTTTATCCTGGTTCGTTTGATCTCAAACTACTCCAGTCCACCCGTTCAAGGTGATTTCGCCTCTCTCCAACGAGGTCTTAATTCACTATATTCAACTGAATACAAATCTGCTTTAGCAACTGCTAAAACCTTCTTGATTCAAACCACAATCCGGTTTGTCAAGGCAACACTTTCTTACAAAGGAATAATCAAATGTGTGTGAATGTTTCTACAAAAACTATATCACAACTGTGATGTTTACACAAATGAAGCTTAGAATACTAAGTTGCTAAACGCTAATAGAGTATCAGAGTTTGGTGGTTTAGCAAAACTTGGAGAGTGAAGATTATTGATCAGCTTTGTGCGTGTAGAGAGTTTGGAAGCATTAGCCGTGATAATCTTCAAAGCTTGGTTTATATAGCACTTTGAGAAGATGAACGTTGAAGCAAATATTCTTGATTCAATGCTATTAACAAGCTTTCCTTTTTGAGCAGATCTTGTCTAGAATGATGCCGTTGGTATTGATTAGCTTTCAATGCACAGTACCGTTGCTTCTTCAATGCACGATCTGGCTTGGCTCATTCTGATTCTGCTTCGCTGCTGATGAACTAATTTGTTTCTGTATCAGAGTGTTTTACGCGCAGTTCTGTTCATCAAGCTTCAGCATGTGCAAGCGTTGATCTTCTGATCTTGACGTTCTGATTCAGCAACTTCTGATGCTGATGCACAAACTCATATTCTGATGCTGAGAACGTGATCTTGCTTATTTTAATCGGCATATCTGCAAGTCAGAGCATAGTAATTTTAGGCAGCATATAATTCAATCATGAAATATTTAACTACTATATCTTTTCACTTTGTTATCATCAAAACTTAATTATAGGGTACTAGATTCAAACATTGTTCTAACAATCTCCCCCTTTTTGATGATGACAAAAACAGGATATTTTAAATGAAAAAATAACGTGAAAAGTTATCAGATCTATGTATCAGAATAAGAAGTACGGAGAAGTCAGAGTTAAGAGATACTCCCCCTGAGTTTGTTACTTCCCTTTGATATGCGTGTTCTTCAGAGTCATATCTTTTTCTATCTTTGAGCATCAGATTATAAGTCTTTGACTTATCAGAGAGCAGAGCTTCAGAGCTTTTCCTGTCAGAGCTTTGCTTCAGATCAGAGCTTCATATATCAGAACTTCATATTTGATCAGAGCAACATGAGCTTCTACATTTTGATCAGAGCTTCTAGTCTTCATTGTGCCTGTAGACTTAAAGACAAAACAGAAAAACATTTCAAGTAATAGAGTTAGAATGTTTGAGAATTTCTGTCTAGTTAGCCGTTATTGATTTTAAATATCATTCTTGTTCTCCCCCTTTTTGTCAGCAATCAAAAAGTGCTGGTGATGTGCTAAAATGATTTAGATCAGAAAAACTAATAATATTAAAGATAGTTCAGAATCAGAGCAAAATAGCATTATAAACCATAGTCAAAACATAGTCAAAAGTACATCAGAAAATGAAGAGAAAAATAGAGAATGTCATGCATGAAAAAAATTTCAAGGTTGTGGGGGCATGCGTGAGAACAGGCTTTCCAGCATTGCTTGAATCTTTTCAGAAGTTGCATTCTGCTTCTGAACCATGGTGACAACAGTATCAATCTTGCTGTCCTGGACATTCATTCTTGCTTCCATCTTCTGATTATTCTCATCCATCCGCTGCTGTAGACGCAAGTCATTCAGCCTTAATTCTTCCAGAGCCTGCCTGTCCAAGGCAGCTTGAGAACTTTCAGCAGGAGGAAGCTTCTCAGAACTTTCAGCTACATCTTCTGCTGGATTTTCTTCTTGAAGAGTCTTGTCTTCTTCTGCTGGTTCCACCTGTGCGGCTTGCTCTTTCTCAGACCACGATTCAGAGTCCAGAGGGAGCACAACTTCTTGAGGCAGCTGACTCTCAACTTCCTTCAGCAGCTTGCTAAAGTTCTGTTGAGCCTGCTCATAGTTGACGTCCTGCAGCTTGAGTGCTTCAGAACGAACCCATACTCTGAACTGTGACCAGAGCTGATCAGAAGCAGCTGGGTCGATCATCCCGGGACAGACTTGCTTCAAGGAAGCAATCCAC